AAGAGAAGAGAAGAGAAGAGAAGAGAAGAGAAGAGAAGAGAAGAGAATAATAGGATGGGATGGGATAGAGCAGAGCAGAGCAGAGCAGAGCAGAGCAGAGCAGAGCAGAGCCGAGCAGAGCAGAGCAGAGCAGAGCAGAGTAGAGTAGAGTAGAGTAGAGTAGAGTAGAGTAGAGTAGAATAAATATAGAATTCTTTATTGGCCAAGTGTGATTGGACACACAAGGAATTTGTCTCTGGTGTATAAGCTCTCAGGATACATAATGTATAAACAGCAAGTGATAGGTCATAAATCATAGTTACAATCATTAATCATGTTACAAACAACAATTGATAAATCATAAGAAATCAATAGGAGAAGGTAGTAGGAAAGATGAGAAGATAAGAAAAGATGAGAAATGAGTCAGTGTTGTGGGAATTAAGTGTTCAGCAGAGTGATAACCTGGGTGGGGGGGATTATCTTTGTGATTAGTTGTTTTGGCAGACAATGCTCTATAGTGAAGGGGAAAGTTGAAGTAGATTATGTGCAGGATGTGATCTATAGATATTTTCTCATCCTTCTTTCTGGCTCGTGCAGTAGGATTGGGAATAATAAAGTAACTTAGTAATAAATCTGGTCGATCCATGTAAACCATGCTTAGCTAAGCCAAGATTTAGTGTAATATGCCAAATAAGCAGTGGTGGGATTCAAATTTTTTAACAACCAGTTCTGTGGGCGTGGCTTAGGTGGTGGGCATGGCTTGATGGTCATGTGACTGGGTGGACATGGCTTGGTGGTCATGTTATTGGCTGGGCGTGGCCAACTCAATATCACTCACATTGAGGCACGCATCTCCTCACCTGGCCTCTCATGACTGTGGGGATGCTGCAACAGTCGTAAGTGTGAAAAATGGTCATAAGTCACTTTTGTCAGTGCCATTGTAATTTTGAATGATCACCACACAAGCAAAGTACCAGCAAAGGAGGGGAAAAACTCCAGAGAAGTTCCTGAGACAGGAAGTCTAGTCCTGCCAAGAATGTAATAAAGGTTAACGGAGAGGCAGCTTCTGTAAGCAACACCAGAATGTTTCCTTCCTGCCTTCCTTACAGGATTAGACCAGTAATTTCTTCCAACAACTGGTTCTCCGAACTGCTTAGAATGTTAACAACCGGTTCTAGCGAATAGGTGCGAACTGGTAGAATCCCACCCCTGCATATAAGTTATTCACATTAGAACTTCAGAAGTTGCTATGTACAAAATTAGCCCATTTCTCCATCCTGCCCAATATTTTCATGCAATTCTCTAGAATTTCAACCAGTTTTTTTCCAACTGGTTGGTAGTACCTGGTCATACTGGGATTTCAGCCTAGTATCTTCTAAGGCCAAAACATTGATACAACGACCTTTCAAACTGACTTAATAATGCAGTACTATCTTCTGATTAAAGGTGGTCAGGAAGCAATTTATATTTTTTTTTCAATCATATCCAATTCTCTATTTTTTTATATACTCCTACTATTCTAATCGCTTGACCATCGTTGAATGTAACACAACATACTTTTGGTTTCTGTTAATTCTATTTTACAGGTGGGAAAAGTATAACTTGAAAAAGAGCATCATTGACACAATGCAGATTCAAGTTTTGAATCCATTTTTGTCTTGGCAGCCTTTGTCTAAAGTTGATGGAACCAGCCGAACATCTCAAGACCTGTTACTTCCTGCCTCCTTTCTTAGGACAGAAAGGATACACAGAGCAGAGTTTAGGCACTATTTACAAAGAGTTGTAAAGTATAGCTTAGACATCACTTATACTTTCAGTCCTAAAGAGCAAATTCAGAATTATGGGGATACCACACAGCTTTTTACAAAGTGTTCCCACATCTGAGAGATAAACATCTAGATGCCCACTAGTGATCATCTAAATGCTTCCTGGATCTGGTAATATTATACTAACAGAAATGGCAAAGAATTTCTTGGCACCTTAAAGACAAACAACTCTCTTAAATGTTGTCAGTCCATTTCATCATTTGGCCAAGGCTTAAATAAAAGGGATGGGGTGCGGTCAAAGGAGTCATTAAGAATAATATGGATGGTGCAGATTTAACAATGATTTGATAAATATCCATTCCTGAAGAGGGAATCCCTCTGTCCCATCATCCCCAACATACCTTGCAAATGGAAACTCAGGATTAAAGCCAAGAGCAGCGGCATCATGCCAGGATGGGACTTGCAGTTCATGCTGAAGGACCCCAAAGATCAACACATCTGCTTCCAGTGCCTCTCCCTACTTTAGGACAATAGAAGACTGTGTCACCTCCTCTGCATTTTAGGATTTATATCTCTGGAACTTTGCCCTGCCCCACGGATAAGGCGGGAACAGCCCAAATTGCAGCTGGATTGGGAGTCTGCTTTCCACATACTGTGTCACAGCAGCTCAGACCTCAGATAACAGCCCAGCCCTTAATACACCACTGCAAACTGGGTGGACTTGATGTTTGGACAAAGAAATGGGGGAGAGCCATGTGTGGTCCAGCCAGTGTGAGATGAAGGGCAGAACAAAAGGAAGCGATGTACTCAGACAACAGAAATGGGACTGACCAACCAAAGGACAATATGTGGAACTAAAATAGTCATCAGTGCTGAATAACAGAATTGGAAGGGACCTTGGAGGTCTTCTACTCCAACCCCTGCTCAAGCAGGAAACCCTATACCAGCAGTGGCTAACTTTTTTCAGCTCCCGTGCTGATGGATTTCAAAGACTAGTCATTGTTCAGGGTGCCAAGATGTCTGCCTGCCTGGGCAGCGTTTGTTCCTTTTATATGGTTCTTTACAAGTAGCAAAAGGCAACATAGATACAGCATTAGGATGGGTGAGTCCCTCATAGATATAACAATAGGATTGGTGAAACCCCCCCCCCAACCAATCCTTAAGAATAGTGGTGATGTTAGTAAGGTGAGATCATTGCACCAGTCTGGGACTTACCAGCCCGGGACAGGGAGTGAGATCATGCAAAGAGCAAAGAGGCCCACAGAGGTATCAGGCACAGCAGTATGCTGCGTGCGCCATCTACAGGATCTCTGTTGCTACTACACCGTGCCGATAATTGCGCGCGCTCACTTGCGTGCGCTCACATACCAGCACCCAGAAGGCAATGCATGCTGGGGGCCCCCATGCCCCCTGCGTATGTGCACATGACCCACCCCTCGTGCGCCACGTACCTGCATATGTGCACGCGATTTCCCCCTCACATGCCACATGTCTGTGCATGCGCACGCAATCCCCTCATGCGCAGCACATCCCTGTGCATGCACACACATCTCCCATGCACTCCCCTCTGCCCCCTGCGCATGCGCGCCAGATACCCGACAATCATCTGTTGGGCGGCGGCGCGCATGCACAGTGCGGCTCTTCTGGGCAACCTCTCGCGTGCCGGGGGGAAATGGCTCTGCATGCCACTTCTGGCATGCGTGTCATAGGTTCACCAACACAGCCCTAAACCATTTCAGACAGATGGTTGCCCAATCTCTTCTTAAAAACCTCCTATGATGGAGCACCACAACTTCCAGAGGCAAGCCGCTAATTAATTGTTCTCACTGTCAGGAAATTTCTCCTTAGTTCTAGGTTGGTTCTCTCCTTGATTAATTTCCACCCGTTTCTTGTCCTACCCTCAGATGCTTCAGAGAACAGATTGATTCCCCCTCTTTTTTGTGGCAGTCCTTCAAATATTGGAACACTGCTATCATGTCACCCCTGGTTCTTCTTTTCACTAGACTAGACCTTCCTGCAACCAACTTCCAGTGCCCTAATCCTCTTTGTTGCTCTTTGCTCTCTTTCTGATTACAGGCTATGTGGGATTTGCATGATGAGGCTGGGGAAGGCCGTCAAAAAGCAGCAGGAAGAGAGACATTAGGTTGCACTTGTGCTTGGAAAGAGAAAGAATGTGACTGACAACCTGAAAGGAAGGGCAACCGATTGTCCTTTGTAGGACGGTCATTATACTACAGGTAATCCTCCACTTCTGATTGTAATGAAGCCTGCCCATCACAGTCGCAAGCTGTGACAGTTCTAAAAAAAATGGCTGACCCAATTATATGGTAGTTGTTAAGTAAATTCCGTGGTTGTTAAGCATACAATAGTTTATTATCAGCAAGGTTTTGCCAAAAAACAGAAGTGCCTCTGGGAAACTAGCCATAAATGCAGCCATGTTGCCATATGTCTGAAGTGATCACGAGGGGCGGGGAAGGAGGTGACTGCTTGAACCTCAAATCCGAGTCGTAAGTGGTAGCCTCAAGATAGGTCTGCTGTAATTTTGAACAGTCACTAAATGGCCAGTCATAATTCGAGGACCAGCTGCGTTCTTCTTATGTCGAGGCTGTGCTTTTAATGGTAGTTATATCCTTAGAGGAAAAAAATGTTATTTGTCAAGCTAGAATTCTTCTGCAAGAAAAGTGCACAGTTGTAAAACAAAATCACCACCATACAGGGCCCTCAACCTCCAAGCTGGACAAGAAGAGATGTTGCAGTTGATGGTATTGAAAGCTGCTGTGAGATCTAATAGAATTATTGGAGAGTTATACGTCCATCAATTCCTGCCATGAGTTATCCATGTATTTAATTTAGTCCTATTCCCAAAGCTGACTGCCATGGCCCCAGGTAATCCATTACTTCCAAAATTCTTTGCTATTTTCACTTCATTGTATTATATATTTTTTCCTGTTTTACAAAACAATTCTCTTATACCAGTTTTCTGTGACGTGTTTTCAGTTCCTGGTCCAAGACTTGGAAACAAATTTTAACTGTCCCCATTTCAAAAACAGGGAAACAATAATTGCTCAAACTGTCTAGAAGTTCCCAACTCTTTTTTTAAAATCCAGGTTAAAGTGCTAAGCAGCCATCTTGAGCTGGCAAAAAAAGTACACTGGCATTTAATTTGCTGCCATCCTTGTCAGTCTCTGTGTGGCCACAGGTTGCCAAATTGCGGTGTCTTTACTGCATGTAGACACCTTAAAAGACGGATTGGATAGATTTTAATCCATCCCACTTAACTGTTTGGGGGAAATTCCATCCATCATTCTTTAATGTTGGATTTCTGTGTGGAGGAAGTGACTTTTGGTATATGGATTGACCAGCAGGTTTAGATATTTATGTTCACAAAAGAGACTATCAGCTGATTCTCTCCTGAAATAACACAACATGGGATCAATGATCATAAACTGATACCCAAAAGAGCACTAAATTTATGTTCAACTCAAGTGCAGCTTGAGAGACAGTTAGTTTTGTGTAGTGGTTAAAATGCTGGCCTAGAATCTAGGAGACTGTGAGTTCTAGTACCGCTTTAGACAGTGGTGGGATTCAAAAAAATTTACTACCAGTTGTGTGGGTGTGGTTGGTGGGTGTGGCTTGATGGGCGTGGTGGGGAAGGTTACTGCAAAATCCCCATTCCCTCCCCACCCCACTATCCTGCTTTCCAGCTCCGTTCTCCTGTGCAGGACAACAAAAGGAGACTCAGCCGATCAGCTGGGACTCAGAAGGCAGAGAATAGATGGGGGTGGGGCCAGTCAGAGGCGGTAGTTGCCGGTTCTCCTAACTCCTCAAAATGTCTGCTACCGGTTCTCAGAACTGGTCAGAACCTGCTGAATACCACCTCTGGATAGGTGCTACCCTTTGAGTCATCTGACCATCGTGCCTACCGTCCCTGTCCTATTGTTTCTCTTATTCTTTTATTTTTCTTATATGTACCCATTTCATGTATTCACAACTATGTATACACTTATACTTATTATCTTGTAAACAATTGGCAAATCAAATAAATAAATAAATAAATAAAATAAACAATTGACTGATGAAGTAGGCCTGATTGCACCCAGAGCAAAATTGCTTTGGCTTGTTCCTTGCTTAAAAGGGAAAACACAGTACAGGTAAATCTTCAATTTACAACTATTCGTTTCGTGACTGTTTGATTTTTACAACAGCACTGAACAAAATGACTCATGACTGTTTTATGACCATGGTCCTATAATCAAAATTCGGACACTTAGCAACTGTCGTGTATGTATATAGGAGGGTTGCAATATCTCAGGGGCCTTGTGATTATCTTTTGCAAACATCTGATGAGCAAAGTCAATGGAGAAGCCAAATTCACTTAGCATCTGTATTACTAACTGAATACTTGCAGTGACTCACTTAACAACTATAGCAAGAACAGTCATAAAAAGAGGCAAACATAACTTAACTTGGCCATGGAATTCTTCGGCTCCATTTTATTTATTTATTTATTTATTTGATTTGCCAATTGTTTACAAGATAATAAGTATAAGTGTATACATAGTTGTGAATACATGAAATGGTTACATATAAGAAAAATAAAAGAATAGGAGAAACAATAGGACAGGGACGGTAGGCACGTTGGTGCGCTTATGCACGCCCCCTACAGACCTCTTAGGAAAGGGGTGAGGTCAATAGTAGACAGTCTAAGGTTAAAGTTTTTGGGGTTTGGGGAAGAGACTACAGAGTCGGGTAGAGTATTCCAGACATTGACCACTCTATTGCTGAAGTCGTATTTCCTGCAATCAAGTTTGGTGCGGTTAACTTTGAGTTTGTATCTATTGTGTGCTCTTGTGTTGTTATGGTTGAAGCTGAAGTATTCATTGACAGGTAGGACATTGCAATGTATGATTTTATATACCATGCTTAAATCAGACCGAAGACGGCGTAATTCAAGGTTTTCTAGTTCTAGAATTTCAAGTCTGGTGGCATAAGGTATTCTACAACGAGTAGAGGAGTGGAGAACTCTTCTTGTGAAATATTTCTGGACTTTCTCAATTGTGCTAATATCAGATACGTAATGTGGGTTCCAAACTGATGAACTGTATTCGAGTATTGGTCTAGCAAATGTTTTGTATGCTCTGGTTAGTAGTGTGATATTACCAGAGAAAAAAAATTTTGGTCAAGGACTACCTATATTTTCTCACCCACAGTAGTAATTTGGATTGTAAGTCTTCAAAGCGATAAATACTATTTTATTATAACTGGGTATGTACACCAGACTGCCAAAAGTGTATCTTGGGGCCCAATGTCACTTGTCAGCATCCTTTTTCAGTCCCCAAAGGTTGCTCAGAGTGGATGGGAACCAAATTGTAAGCTCCCCCCCCCCCGTCCCCATTTTGGGGGTGAGTGAAGGCTAATAGTTCAGCCTGCCCTACTTCTGGAATTCGGTCCTTGCTGTGCAAAATCTAATGAGACTTCCAAACCAAAGGAAGTTACACACTGATGATGGACAATAATGGATGC